AATTGATTTATATCGATCAGGCACTTCAAAAGCAAGCGGATTTATGGAGTCAAGATGTTTTTCGTAGAATAATTGTGATTTTAAACTAAGAACAAGTCAATTTTTTTTAAATATATTTTTCACCTTGAATCAACTTAATCCATAGAAGTAATTAACTCAATAAGTTAGAAAATCCATAGAAGTAATTAACTCAATAAATTAGAAAAATTAACTTGTTCTCAACCAGTAACTTGCAGGAGTGAGTTGATAATTGAAAAAAGGTTAAAAAGGATGGTAAGAGTTATATCTTCTCTTACAGTAAAATAGAAATACATTTCCAAAAATAAGGTAAAATTTCAATAAAGAGGGCATATATCACCCAACATTTACTGCAAAAAGATTATAAAAAATTCATAAATTGAATTAAAAAAAGCAGTTAAGTAACTATTATTTTTCAGTTTCTGTTGTAATAAAATAGCTGATATTATTTTGACAATAATAAAAATATAACAAATTAAATATGATACTAAGAGAATGACCACGATTCGCAACCAAACAAAACATGGGCTTCTTCATTGTTGTCAGTTGAGCCCCCATGAAATCTACATTTTGGCTCCTTCGAAGTTTCCACAGACAATGAGGATTAAGTCTGTGAACTGTATGCATACCCGTGTTATCAAGTTTGTCAGTTTATCTTTGAGCAACACGGCACCTTTCCTGCCATCCAAAAAAAAAAACCACTTATTTTTTTAAAAAACATTTAAGTTTCTCAAAAATCGAGCATAAACAACTTATTTCAATCAAAAAGACAAGTAGGTGACTTATAAAAATCTGTCAAAATTGCCTTTTTGTGATCAGATGAGCCCCATGAAATGTATATTTGGATTCTTCAAAGTGACGACAATGAGGATTAAGTCTCTGAACTGTATGGATACCCTTGTTATCAAGTTTGTCACTTTATCTTTGAGCAACACGGTACCTTTCCTGCCATCCAATTTTTTTTTAATTTTTAAGTTTCTCAAAAAACCAGAATAAACAACTTATTTCAATCAATTTTATTTACAAATCAAAGATTACCATTCTTAACAATATTTTTTGGTTGCTTTCACGTATAATTAACGTGAAAATCGGGATGTAAAAGATGTTTGTTCAAGTGAAATAATAGAAACTATAATAATTCTATAGATTGTTCGTCCAAACGATATTTGGCGGTAACCGATAACTTGACCTCTAAGAAATTGTTTGGAGAGAATAAATGGTCTTTATTATAGGAAAAATTAGAATAGAGGACCTAAAGGAAATAATATTTACCGTGAAGGATCTTAAAAATCCTAATTACTTAGAAAGACCAGAAACTAAAATGTAAATGTACCAATGCTAAACTATACCCCTAATAAACTTTCTTATACTCACTCTAACCACATCTCAATTACTTGATAATAGGAGAGAAAACATTAAGATAAGGAAGGAAAGAAAATTATGGAGGAAAATGAGAGAGAAAGTGAATTTTTACTTATTTGAATGTAAAGTGGAAAAGTGAGAAGAAAAAGTTGAGGAGAAAATAAGGTGTAAGCCCAGCCACAATTTCTTTTTAATTTTTGTTCTTTATATAAAATGAGAAAATGAGACGAAAACTCATTTTCTATTTCGTCTTTGTCTTTCATTTTTATATTGTATTTTAAGCATTTATTGACAATGTTGGATGATGTATAATTTATTTATTTCTTTAATTATATATGATTTCAAAAAATTATCCACTTTTTATTTCTTTATATTTTTACATAAAAGGATATTTTGGTTATTTATATTTTTTTTCCTATCTCCTCTCATTCATTTAAACGGGAAGGGTGACAATTTTTTTCTCCAATTTTTTCTCCTTCCATTTTTTTTTTCTTAACTAACTTTTCTTCCTTCTTCCAAATGAAGAATAAAGACTTATTGGCAAGAGGCATGGATCTTTAAAGGTGATGTTCGTCGAGTGGTGATAGGACACGCTGAGAAAAAAGAAGTTTGGTTAAGCAAAACTCTTGAGCTCGGCTTTGCAAGACCTGAACCCTAGCAATGGCGATGAAGATGTGGATGGTGAGGTGAATAAAAATGAGGACGAAGCTTAAGAACTTTTCTGGGGATTTAAATATAGTGAGATATCATTGCATCTTCAATTGTAAGCATATATTATTCTAGACGTATGTTAATTTATTTTGTGTGTGCATTATAATCATTGAAAAATATACAATGGTCATATGTCAAGTGTTTTTTTGGGGCGCTATGATGAGTAAATAATAAAACTTCTCCGGTCTTTACTATAGAATTTAACTGTTGAATTAATTTTGATTATAAATATAAGACTTATTTTTTATATTTAGCAATTTTTTTCTAAATTATCCGATACTCAATTAACCATAATCAAGTAGGAGAAGGAAAAAATATCAAGGAATGTGGTTATGATGTTTTAGGAAAAAACATATAATATTTTTTATAATTAACTAACTTACCTAATTTTTTTAATTTAGTTAAATTATTTAAATAAATTTTATATTAATGATCACACGATTAAATTTAAGATATACACACCGCGCAAATATGCACTGGGATCGTGCCAGCAGATAAACGTATTTCTGGTTTGCTTTTGTCTCGTTCTGGGATTTTTGGGGCCGGGTTGGACCAATCTTGACATAAACAGCCTTGCCTCTGACAACACATAGCTTTTTCTTTTTTTTCTTTTTCTTTTTTTTGGGGATAAAACTACAAACGGCATATTCATTTTTAGAGAACATTTAAAAAAAAATACCTTGGCCAATTAGTAAGGAGTTGGTCTAGTCCAATTGATAAGGAATCAGTTCATAACCCACAATGTCGATTGTGTGTTTAAATTTCAGTACTGATATGAGGACCTTATTAGTAATAATCTGTAAGTATCTCTGTAAGCATTGTCTGAGCTTGGAGGTATGTTCTAACCGTGGTGAGTCCTGGTACGCAACTCACTTAAATTTTTTTGTTGGAAAAAAGAAAGGGAAAGTAGCTCAATGCGGAACACGTGATGGAAGACAACAAATCATGATTATCTATCAATGATGACTGATGATCCAAAAGCTCTACTCTCATTGGTTCCTTAATTTCATTTATTTATTTTGTTAATACGAGCCCAATTCTAGTGCCACTGCGAAAATGGCAATTTACATCATCCTTGCTAGGTTGATTATAAAACATGATGTTTAGAAGGTATCACCGCTGACATAGACCAGCTCCTTATATGTAAGGTTCAAAAGATATTTTTTTAATACTGCTGTCTACATACCAAGTCTAAAGTATTATACGAAATGAAACTTGATTAGAAGAGTATTTTAGAGAAGATAAAATAAGATAGTATAAAGTTCGTTAATTTTTTTTAATTTATTTAAATTAATCAATTAATTCTTACATTAAAAACCGGATATAGCATAAGGTTAAGCCGACCAGCTGCCCACTCGCATTCACATTGGATTCCCGAGGAACCCAAATCTGAACACACCGTTGTTGCTGTCAACAAAGAATAAAGAGTGAAACGTATAGAGGTGATACTTTGTTACATATAAATAAAATCTTATGTCGTGTTTAACTCCCTTGGTCCAGTCTCTCCTCCTGCCCAAGACATTTAATTTCTTTACGCTCGCATGTGAGGGCGTGACGACGACAATATTATAAAGGTTTTCCGAGTTCAGGGCACGTTTAATTGGCGGCTATATGGCTTTTTAGAGGTACCGTATGTTTGGCCATCTCAAAAAGGCTTAGCGGCATACAGAGTGAAGTGGGAACCAGGCTTGGTACTGATTGATGTGAAATGGCAAGGGACGGAAGAGAAGGAGGGATGCAGGGGTTCTTTATTCAATCAAATCACATGCTAAATGCTATTAAAAACGCTAGCTTTATTGATAGATATTAGGAAATAATGAATGATAATTTTCAAATTCAAATCTAAATCAAATATTAAGTGAGTCCTATAGATAAAAAGAATAAAGATACTTCTAAGATATCCTATTTTATTGAGATAATGCAAATATTAAAAAGTGAATAATTAAATAAATCCATATTCTGATAAATGAATATATATATTCACATCCCTAATGTATAATCCTAGATATTTCATTAAACCCTAATTGTTCTTTAAAAGTGTGTTTGGATGAAATCAAACCATGGTTTGGAGAATAGCTTTTGGAAAATAGATTTTGGGAAGAATAGATTCTGTGAAAAAGTAATTCTGAGAAGTGAGAGTGTTTGGATAGTTGTTATCAGAAGAACTTTTTATATATACAAATTACTAAAAAAAAGACATAAGTTAATATGATAATTACAGAAAAAATATATTTTATGATATATTTTAATTTGAAGGAATAAAATTGTTAATAATATATTTTTTACCAACATAATTAATAATACATAAGATAATATAATTAATATGTATATATATTTATAAAATATAAGATTAAATATGTTTATAAAAAAATATGTTTATAAAAAAAATAACAAGATACATATCCTATAGACTCTCACACTCTCTCTTTTTTCTCCAAAAGCAAAAAATTTTTGCTTTTTCCAAAACCATGATTTTAGTTTTTGGGTGGGTGTTTGGGTGATTTATTTCCCAAACCATGCCTAAGTCATATCCCATCATCTATCCGCATATAATGACAAAATGATTACATAGAACACGGTCCACTTGCGTAGGTATGATTGTCACTAATGCGTTTTTGCGTAGGTATACATAAAAACTTGATGCTGATTTGATTTGCTCGGTGCTTATGACATTATATGGTAGCGTTTTCCTCCAATTCGCACACCTTGCACGCTTCTTCCCCCACCCTCGGGCTCCTCCTTGCTTCGCCAGACGCGTGTACTTGACATGGGCCCTCACCTAGAGATCTCCATTTGGGCCCAGTTCCTGTGGGATCATCTATGCGGCCCTATATAAAGGCATGCCTGTAGGTTGTTTCAGCATCATCGATCAGTAGAATAACTGGCGCCACGCGAAACTAATTAAACAAATGGCTCTCAGAGTTATTGCACTGTCTTGCGTTGTATTTCTAGTCTCACTCATAGGCTTCGCTGCTGCAATGGCCACAACTGTAAGTAATCGCTCTCTTTCTCTTATGTAGATCCATTACTATTATTGTAAGCTTTTCCTTCTACTTATTTTTTTGTGTGCTTTTGTTCATGTGCATGCATGCAGGATGAAAAGTGCTGCCAGTACAATGTGAGCGTTCAGACAGCAAATGCCTATGGTGCAGGAACGGGCTCCACCATTAGCCTCACGTTAAAGTCCCTATCCGGCGATGGTTTTACCATCGCCAACCTCGTAGATTGGGGCATAATGCCACCCGGTCATGTCTACTTCCAGAAGGGCAACCTTGACTTCTTCGGGGGCATGAGCAATTGCGTCGATGTTTGCGCCATGACCGTCACCTCCAGCGGCACAGGGTCCAGGCCAAGTTGGTACTTGAATTACGTCAATGTCACCGTCAGTGGCCCCAAACAGGTGGACATATCGTTCCCCGTGAACCGGCGGCTGGCTAAAGACAAACCATATTCGCTCTCTGCCACCGTCGACTCATGCTCCAGCTTCTATCCTTTGAAGCCCGCTCTCTTGTCTGTGTGAGGGAGTAACAGTAACAGATATCTGGCTTTTGCTGGTCTGTTACGTTACGTTGTTGTGTCTTATGTAATGTTTGTTTGTCATATGCGTGTCGTCTCGATAATAATTGCTACCTCTCTCTCGGCTTATATGTAATTTATAGATAATAAATAGGCCTTGAGGTCGCAGTATGTATCTGGCTTCTGATGGTAAGCAGTGTCACGTTGTGTGTTGCCTAATAATATTTGTTTACTATAATTTTATACCTTGCCCTGGTGTCTCACATAAACTGTTTCTTTTTCAATTTTCATTATAAATAGTTTGTTTTGTTTAAGGAAACTGAAAAAATTGAATAATTAAAAGGGTAAAAGGACAACTTTTTTTCTTAAAATACAAAGAGTTACTGTATAAATTTGTCTTAAAAGCTTTGACTTAAGAGTGCTAAGCAATCTTAAAATTTTTTAGATGCAAATTTATCTAAAAAATTTAAAATTGTAGTGATGTTGCCTCCTACTATTAAGAATACTACTTCATTTTTTTTAACGGTCAATATTAATTTTTTAAATATAATAAATAATATTATTATGATTTTAAATTTTTAGCTAATTTGAACCCAATAAAATTTTCAAGTAACTAATGTTTCTGAACAAAATCTTTCGAAAGTTCAAAACAAATTATACCTTAACTTTTTGTATTTTAAACGGCGGCCCAAGCAGGTGACCTTTGAGCTTGTAGGGGCTAGGTGGGACGAGCTTGTAGGGCGAGGTGAGAGGGCTGATCAATTATCCCCAATGAATTCAAGAGAGAATTATAAGAAAGTTAAAAAAAGTTATTAAAATTTTTTAATAATAACTTAACAATAAATTTAGAAATAAAAAATAATAAAATTTAAAATTTATTTTATAATTATTTTTTAAAAATTTTATTACAATTTTTTTTTCTAAATTTAATGAGACTGGACTGTTGGGTTCTTTGAATTGGCCCAAATATTTTACATTGGCTGCGTCCAATTACTTCGCCCCAAATATAATTTAGTACTTATTGCAAGACACTTGCTAGAAAAAACAATTTAATCCTTTTTATAAGACTCTACGACAATTTTAATCAGCATTAAATATTTTTTATATATATTCACAATTAATAGGGGTAGTAAGAGAATAAAAATTAATATGATGTTAAATTTAGCGTAATTAATAAGAATAATATTAAAAATTACTTGAATTTTATGACAAATTTAATATATTTAACTATTTTAATCGATACATATTAATTAGTTAGCAGTCTCTTATAATAATATAATAGGATCAAAGGGAGTGTATTGGTTAGATAAATGGCGTTAAAAAAGACTTTTTTTTTTAAATATTGGCGTTAAAAGTTCATTTATGCACTAGTGTGCTTAAATAATGTTATCAGATCCATTGTCCGATCAAATTTATTTTCATATATAATTTTTATTATTAATGATGCTTTGTTATTGTGAAAATTTACCCACACAAATTTTTATTATTAAAAATTTATGTACTTTTGATTATAGGATTTGACATGATATGGATATAACGAAATATTGGTCAAGATTTATAAATGTGTGTGTATATATGTGTAAACACTTTGTGTTTTTGATTTTATGTCTTGAGATATTATAATTGTGTTTGAATAAAACAATTTCCAATACTCCATTTTTCTTTTCTACATAACTGTCTGATATTTAATGAAAAAAGAAAATGAAAGTTATCGTGGTAAATATTTTTAGAATAAATACTGCCAACAATCCAATCTTATTTCTGAGGTGTACTCATCACCTTCATCTTTTTAGTGATACGATGTTACCTATGATATGATCTTCTAAATTTGTTGCAATCTCATCCTTATTTTATTTATTTAAAATCACTTTTTTCCTTTTACTCGTGTTAAGAGTTAAAATTAATAATTTTGGTTGCATTTATCAAATCATTAACAATTTTCACACAGAGTAATCAAATTATAGTCACATAAAAAAAACTGAAAATGGGTGAGATTGCATCAAATTTAATAAATTATGGGTAAAATTATATTACTAAAAAAAACTTAGGGTGTTTAGTGCACCTTTATGCATATTTTTAGGTTTAATAAATAAATAAATAAATCGTTGAAATTTATTAACTAACTACAAAAGTTTGTCCAACATAAGTTACTTTCAAAAAAAGAATGCGGGAACTCATTGAACAATTACATATGTGATGGAAATAACTGACTGGAAAGGATCATAATTTCTGCTGAAACAAACAAGATAATGAAACTAAAGAGACATCATTACTGAAATGAAGAGATCATACTCATATTATTAAGATCTTTCTTATGATTAAGCATGAAGCTCAACAAATTATGCAAACGGCAGCCATGAGCTCGCTCTGGCCGGAAACCCAAAACCTAGCCTGTTATTGTTCACTAGGAAGCCTTCTCTAGTACTCCTCATGTCTTTAATTTAAGACCTAATTGTTGAGTTAATCTCAGTATTAAATATAAGACCTATTTATGAAATTTATTAATTCTTTCTAAATTACCCCTACTGATACTTGCTCAATCATAATCAAGTAGAACATATAGGAAGGATATTAAGAAAGATCGTTATGGTATTTTAGAAAAAACATGTTATACTCCTCCGGTCCTTAATATAGGACCCAATTCTTGAGTTGGTTTTGGTCCTAAATATAAGACCCATTTTTCATATTTATTAATTTTCTCTAAATTACCCCTATAGATACCCCCTCAACCATAATTAAGTAAAAGAGAGAGGGGGTATTAAGAAAGATGATTATGGTGTTTTAGGAAAAATGTGTCAATTTTCTTATAATTAACTAACTTACCTAACTTCTTTAATCTAATCAAATTAGTTAAATGGGTTTTATATTAAGGACCGGAGGAGTATTTTTTATAATTAACTAACTTTCATAACTTTCTTAATCTAATCAAATTAACTAAATAAGTCTTTTATTAAGAACCGGAGGAGTATTTATTTCAGGCCCACTGACGGTGATTTCCACGAATTCCAAATGCCACTCTAGCCTGCTCCCTCGCCCGTCAATGGAAACGAAGATGGAGCAATGGTTGAGACAAATGTTCCCGCTGCTGAAGAAGTTGAGATTGTTCCACTCGAAGTAGTTGCGGTCGGGTTCTATGGTGTAGCACCTAATTTGAGAGTTAATGCTGGTTTTATATGGAAGACTTATTTCATATTTTATGAATTTTTTCTCAAATTAACTCTATTGGTATTCCCTCAACAATAATTAAGTAGAAGATAGGGGAAATTAAGAAAGATGCATAGGGTATTTTAAAAAATATATATATATCATATTAATTAATTTAATTAACATCCTCAATCTATTCAAATTAGCTAATTAGATTAGTACTATATGCTTGCAAATATTGCAGTCCAATGTGGAAATGGGCAGCGCGGTCCGTATGATTAGAACATAACTAAACGAGGGAAGAGATGTGACACCCTCACAATAGACCCGAGGATTAAGAGAGATAATTAATAGGAGATCAAAGAAAATTATGAAAAGGAATAAACAGTAGGGTGAATTTCACGGACATTTATCGTCAAACCATCATAACAAAGCCTAAAAACTAAATGAGATGCAAAATGTCATTTTTTTAGTCTTACGTACTATAAGGTATCAATATCCTTTTCTTTTTTATATTTATTATTTTTAGTCAAACTATCACTATTCCTGTATCATGTATCAATTATGTTGATAATATTCAGAAAGGTCATAAAATGATAATTATTTTAAAGGACTAGAACAAAATTAACTAGGTCGTGAGCTTGCATTTTGCATGAAAACTAACATTATAAGCCTCCTTTTTCATATTTTATTATTAGTGTGGTACTGCAGCTGCTTATAAATTTTATATTATAGATGCATTAAATAATTATTTTTCGTTGATTTTCGTTTTTGGATGTGAATCCCATTATTATTATTTTTTTCAAATGAATGAAAGTATACATTTGGGTAGTTTTAACGTCTTAGTAGAGGCCAACTGATGAGAGCCTTTGTCGTTCACCTTGGGGTTCCCAATAAAAAATAAATCCAAACAATGCAATATAGTGCAAAACTCGGGTTGTTTCACTTTGAGGAGCCTTTATTTGAAATCCTAAGCAACTAAGTATCAAAAATAAAGAATTGACTTGAAAAGGGATTGATTTTCTTGTCCTGATTGGCAAAATTTAAAAGGATATAAAATGAGTAAATAATTTTTGGATTTTTAGTTTATAAAATGGATATGAATGAGATAAACAAAGAGAATTAATAAGTGATAGCAAATGGAAAAGCAATCCTCTAGCACAATGATTAAGGCTATCATTACTTCAATTAATTTGGGAGTTAGCTAAATTCAAAAAACTTTAAGGGCCACCCCCTAGACTCGGTTTAATTAGAATAATCAACACCAAGCCACCTTGCATATTAATTATTCACAATTAAACTGTTTCAGCACAATTAGCCAAAAAGAAAATCAAAGAAAAGCAATTAACATTTTTAGTCTAATAACCAAGCCACCTTGAATTACCACTAAATGTTCACAATAATTTCAAAACATAGTCTAACCCAATACAATGTAAAGAAATTAAAACTAATCATAGCATAATGTTAAATGCTAATCAAAGATTCCAACAACTACAACCAATCTCAATACAAATATAAATCATCACAGCCCATTCAAACATTATAAAATTCATTCTAAGACCTAGAAATCACAATTATAATGAAAGAAGTAAATATTAGAAGAGTTAAAACTCCCCTTTGAAACTCTAAGTTCAAGCCATAACCATTGCTCTAGAGAATTGGAAGGATTTAGCTACTCCTAACCATCACAACAGCTCCACCAAAATTCCAATTCGGTTCAGCCATGAAGAACAATGAAGATGGAATCTGCAGGAGTGATTTTGCCGTGAAGCTATGGTCCTTCGTTCTCTCTTCCTCGCCGCTGGTCTCTTCAATTCACGCCGCCTCCAGCTCGTGAGTTCCTCCCGCCCCGCTTGCGTC